GAGAAATGCAGGAATGACAGGAGGCAAGGATCGTAAAACACACTGTCATCTGGGTCACTCAGCTTTCCATGGTCTTCTGGGTCCAAGATGAGCAGCTTGCCTTTCCATAAACCTTCTCCACACGCATCAGACTCGCTCAAGGTTTCTGCCCCATGTCAATGGGCCATGGGGCTCCCAAAATAGCAAACGTTTTAAATAGCAACCTGGACGAGTTTGAGACACAGAGGGTGAAAGTCAGCAGTTCCGACCGAAGAAACCAGGGCAAGTGCTGGGTGTCACACTTCAGCGACATTCCACAGAGGTCAAGTGCCGAGTCACTGGCGATGTGTAGTGCAAATGGCACGTCGAATTGAGCCGGGATTTGGATCAATGAAGTCATTATCTAAGTAACGTTTTTGAATGTAAGAGGAGATGTACAGACTTCAGGAGTGAGGTCCTGGAATCTTCCCTAACTTCAGAGCGGGTGACTAGAATGTTGATGCTGCCTTGACAAATAAAATTCCCAGGTAATTTTATTCCTCCCCGACATACACTCACTTTTTTTTTCTTTTTCTTCTCCCCTCTCACTATCTCTTTCTTTTCACTCTCTTACATTCCATTTCTCATTTTCTCTTTCTTTCTTTCTTTCTTTCTGTCTCTTGAGTCCTAATTCTTTGTATATTTCTAGCTCTTTCTCTTTAGGACAATCATTTTCTACCTCTTGTTACAGTCTTTCACTTTGTGGGATATCTTCTTTTTTTAAATTTGGACAGGTAAAGAAGGTTTTTTTTAAATTATGTACTCAATCCTTTTGGTGTATTTCAAAAGGCACATTACTTTTCTTCATTTAGGAGTGAAAGAAGTTAGAAATTAACTTCAAAAAGAAATCAGCAAACGGCAAACAAATTTCCTTCAAAGTCACAATCACATATACAGCACATCCTAGAAAAGCAGGTGGGCAAGCAGGTCCCACCCACTGTCATGAGTTTCATCGAATCTCAAGGGTGGCGAGAAAGGCAACTTTCAAAAAGGAGTGTATTATTACATAAGGCATTTACTACACGCCTTCCTAAGAGCAGCAGGTGGGGAACATGTTTTCTAGACTAGCTCTAGGAAGTGGAATGTCTTTCATTCATTTCCTCTCTCTTACCAGCACTTCCTTTGCGCCCCTCTGCTCCTCTCTCTTGCCCCCCTCCTGTCAGGTAGTTGTTGGGTAAGCGGGGGCACCGGGCAGGTAAGGTGGAGGACAGGGAGGATGCTCCCAAAGACGGCGGTATGCCCGCCTTCAGCATAAAAGAGCTCCACTTCCTCTAAATGAGTGCCAGCAAGAAACTGGTTAGACTCTGACAGCCACAGCTTCACAGTAGTGACAAGGACCTAACCCAGCATGACCCAGTGCTCACTGTAATATAATTAACAGTGCATTTTAGCCCCCTGTCTCATGGGATTTTCTGTGTGCGTCATGGGTAAGGACATGTGCAAAAAGGGACCAGCGTGACTAAGAACTCCAGGGGCGAGAGCCATCCATCAACCAAGAGCCCACCTCTAAGCGAGGATGTAAGAGAAGGGGGCAAACAAAGACCATTGCTCTCTGCCCTGGGATCAGCCTCCTCCCGTTCCTGGAGGTGTGCTTTCCCTTTGCTAATAAAAACCTGTAAAATCTTTTGCTACGAAACACCTCTGAATTCTCCCGTCTGAATTCTTATCTTTCGGGTAAGACAAGAACTGGGTCTTCTCCCTTCCCCTTTTGGGAAGTGGGAACACGCCCACTGCCTATGCTGTTAGATCCAGGGTAGTGTTAGAGGAAAGGACATCAGAGCTGCCTTCCACCTTGATCTCATTTTCCTCACTTCTGCAGACACATGAGCCTACAGAACCTCCCACAGTTTCCGCTGGATCCTTCCTGAAAGACACATGGCAGCAGGTATAAGGGGACGGGTATGGAGGTGGGTGGGTAGGATGACATCTTATTAAAGTCCGGAACTGGCATCATCCAGCCACAGGAGAGATTTTTATTGTCTGGCTGTAAACCACCCACTGGAATTTTGTGGCAGGTGGATTTTGCGCATCAGAGTGATGAGCTCACACAGGTTTATTGACTTCTGAACCAAGCATCCCCATGACACATTCTTCAAGCAGAATGTGTGCAATAAGGCAAGAGGGAAAGAAGAGGGAAGGGAGAAATCAAGATTTTGATGTGGCTTTAAAACCTTGGGCCAGGGCAAGATTGCTGCTGTGCAGATAGATCCATTTTTCCACCTCACATCTCATTCCAGATCATAACCTAAGTCGATTCGCTATGTATTTTTTTCACACATCCCTGCACTTTTCTCTTGCTGGTAGAAAAATAAATAAATAGCACAGAATCCAACTGCAGTGCGGTTCATTAAAACGATTTTAAAAATCACTTAAGCAGTTAGCCAACAAGAGAGCTTTTGAGTTAAAGGCATGCCTGAGCAATTTATAAGTTGGCAAGGTCTTGATTGCATTAATTAATCAGGAGGTAACTGTTGTGGCAGCCAGCCCTGGCTTAGATGATTGCTGCTGTC